GCAATAGCAATATTGGATAATAAATTTAATTTTTAAAATAGATACAATATTGATTATGCAATATGTTGTAGATTTTTTACGTTATTTGCAGATATTATTTTTATATACTTATGAAATTATTTTCAAAACTTTATTTTTACTGAATGTAGTCTTAAGTTTATTCATATAATTTTCCACAAGTATTAATCGATGCTGATTATTTCATTACGCGTAATACATTTTATCTGTCTATTTTTCTCTCTATACAAGGATTATGCTTAATAATTTAAATTATATTTTAATCACTAGCGATTCATGGCAATCCACATCGCTTGCGAGAAAGTTGTTAATATTTCAGCTCTTAAGCGGATTTGGTAGATAAGCGTATAATTGGGAATGCGAAGAAAGTAGTAGGTAGGGACATTGAGAGCTGCCAGGGATGATTAATTCTTGTCGGAAAGCGCTAGACCCTTTGGAACTCGGTTGTAGCGTCCCCGCCACCCCCGCCTTTCCCATTCCACACTGGCCCTCCTCGCTCTTCATACAACCACCTCATTCCTCTCGCGCACTCAACCCTCTGAACCTCTCTTACCACCGGCAGACTTTCTCGTTTCGTTTGTTCTCCGCCCGTGTCATTCGTTATTACATCGTAGAAACTCGCAGATATTTGGAATTCCAAGTGACGTCTAAAGGGAGCCGGTGCTTTAACCGATAACTCGGTTTCTTATCTTAAAGGAAACTATGTCCGACGTTGTTTTTGTTAATATTCTTACATGGACACTAGCATATTGAAAAATTAATGTTGTGAAAAAAATAATCGGGATACTCGTCTTAATAATTCTCATTTTTTATTATGAAATTTCCAAATAACATTGCGATGCTATCAAATGTATCTTGCTATAATCGGAATTAAGATCGATTAATCTTGAACTTGATCACAAGCGGATTGTGCAATTACTGCCTCCTACTGAAAGATCCCGCATCTTACAATTCTGACTATAAATCTCGATCAGATTGAAAGTTCATATTGTGAAGAAATATTATGGAATACATAAACGCACAAATATCATACAAAAATTATATGAATTTCATGTGATAATCAGTAGTATATTATTATATATATTTATTGGAATGAACAATTCTAAAAGTAATTTCATGCCGAATCCGATTCATTAATAATCAGAAGTATATTATTATATATATCTATTAGAATGAACAATTCTAAAAGTAATTCCATGCCGAATCCGATTCATCTCAAATTCGAGCTCATCCGGTGGCCCCCATCTTGCAAAGGGCCAAGAAGCGCACGCGTCCGATATCGGTTGCATTTGCATAAGGCTATCGTCTTCCCTTTGTTGCGGACTCGCCTCCCACGTACGTGGCGAGGCTGTCACTCAGAGTTTCAGGACTCTCCTCAGTCTTCTCTCACATCAGCCGCAGATCAGTACTCCTCTCTATCTCCCTCGGCATTTCTTCCTCCTTTCTCCTTTTTTCTCGATTTCAAACCTCCCCACAGCACATAGCAAGCACCTACACCCTGTCTTCGCTACCTTGCCTGCATTCCTGCATACTATTACACGGAGCTGCGCTTACACATATTTCGTTTGTAACGCTTGCTTACTTGTTTCAAGTGAAGCCAATGCCGGATGCTCGATAGACTTCCGAAACGTGAAATATTTCACAAGGTGGCCATAACGGACAGCAAGAGTTAACCACGACAGGCTTACACAAATAGTTTCTTGATTTTAAAAGAAAGCTACACAAATTAATATACGGGCAATAGTCTTCTGTTTCTTTTCTTAGAATTTTGTACTTTGATATTATTAATAATATTAATATTATAGCTTGACATATACTAATGACGCTGATAAAATCTTCGAAACTCATACTCTTTCTTAATTCGACAATCCAAAAATTTGTAATTTGTATCTTTACATTTGATAATCACAACTTAATATTTATTTCTTTTGTCTTATATTTGCCGCCATGCCAATATCAGAGAATACATTGAGTGTCAAGATGAGAATCTTGATATCGCAGCGCGATAGCCGACCAAAACATTTCGGGCGGTCACGAACGGACAGCGAAAGCAAAACGTATAAAACGCAAAGGCAGCGATCCCGAGGCTCGGGGTGTTCCACTAGCGCGATACTCTGCACTCTTCGAATAGCTCTCTTCTTGCCCGCGAGTGCGGAGGTCTTCGAGCCGCCTAACTGAGGATGGGATGAAACATACTTGGTGGATACGGGGACGGGAATGGTAGCCGCATTAATAAAACATTAAGGTTTTGTAGACGATGTATCGATGTAGTGTTTATATTATCTTCTTTGATGTCGACATGTGAATTGGACAGATTTGTTATTCAGACTCCGTACGTAAAAGTGCTGAAGTCTTGCTCTGCTCCGTTTGTGGACAGGGCGGGTATCGACAACTCGGACATCGATGGACGGACGAACAAACAGACGCAACGAACGAACGTGAGCGCAGATGGATAAACGTGAACGGCCTGTTTCAAGTTTGCGCTCTGGGTCTCTGTCCTGCTTGTCAGACAGCACATAGAAGAAGAGTCTCTTATCCGCACGCAGATAGCTCACTGCTTACTTATTTCTGTCGACGTATTTTCAAAATCATTTCCTCAACAGTTGATGTATTTTTCTATCTTTCCTTTAAATTGCACGACTCGAGAGAAGATATATCATAAAGACGTTAAACGAGTTTTTATGAGAAAGTCAAAATGCATTTTATCAAGATCGACAACGCAAAGAGAAAATTCGACGACAAAGTCGGTCGTTCTTACGAACGGAAAGATAAATTTGTAAGCAATAAAGTTTTTTTTTACGACTTCTTTCGACTCCGAGTCTTTCGTTACTAAACGTTTCCATGTCGAATTACACCCGACATGATTGCTCGATAAATCCCACACCTTGAACAAGACTTAATTTCACAATAGACGACCTACGCGCACTCATTTCTCGGAGCCGCGTGGTATCGACATTCTTCGCGATGTCGTGCTCGGGGCTCCGCGGTCCCCCCTCCCCCCCTCCACGCGCCACACGGTACTGTGATCCCGAACCTTGACTCTTCATTAATCACCCCGTGGTATCAATGACTGACTGAGTGACTGACGGCAGGCGAGAGGTATTATATACCTACGGTGTTCGCGCGAAAGCTGATGCTCGTCGTGGGGATCTTTCTCGTCTCTGATAGACTGACGAGAGAGAGCCTTGTCTGAAAACTTTTCTGCGCTTTCCCCTTTCCATTTCAAAGCTTAATAGCTTATTCGAGAAAATTGCAATTTTTCTTGCAATTTTCTTAATACCAACTCTCTCAATGCTAAACAGCACATGCACGCTGATCGAGTAAAGACAAGATTGCTGTAACGCGATTGTTTAAAATTTGCTGCTGTATGCAATTATGTGCACGGAGCAAGGATAGGGAGCGAGAGTTAATTATCACGATGTCGAAGTACATTCAACTCAGGAATTCTAGAGAGAGTCTGTACTTATACTTTCCGATAGAAGAGCAGTCTGATTTAATCGAGAGGTCACGACCTTACGGTAGGCTGGCGCCATAGCGCCTCTCTTTGTACCAGTATTCCGTTACGGACTATACACCGAAAGTCACGGTTACCTTGCCGCAGTCCCTAACAAAGGTGCACCTACGAATCGAATCGAATACGCGTCGTCATCGTCGGTAGCTTAGACGATCTTAGTCGTTTGAGTGAGTCTTGTGACGGATCGTGACTTGCGTTAAGGACTTGTTTCTTCTCTTGTTTTCTTGTTATATGACTCCTGTCCGCTTCGGTAGTTTTCGAGGGTGTGACTCTGCTTTATCATACACGACTCTCTGCTGCCGATACGCGATTCTTATCAGCAATCCTTCCAGACTGAATAAAATGTGAAACTGTCCGTGGCCAAGCGTGCATATATACTTACGGACGTAAGATGGTGATGGTTAAATTCTGCGATCATAATTCCGCGGGGCTAATTAATTTAATATATAATTAATGCAATTTGAGGTCAGCACCACTAATTGAAATTTGAATAATAATCCAGTTTTTTTCCGCGGACGATTTAGTTTAATATGTTTACTTAATTAAAATAATGAAATGCATTATTAGTAAAGAGGAATCTCTGTATCGCGCGATAGATAACCTCGCGTGGTCATCACGCAATTCTTCAACATGAACGTTATCGTGTTTTACGTTTGAGCAATAAAGCGGACGCGTTAAAGTATCATATCGGCAATTAAAAACATAATAATTATTGTCGTGCGTCATAATTAATATTGCCGGTCTAATTCTCTTTGTTACTTACTAATTAATAAAATAATTATGTATATTTAATAATTTTACACGTACACGCCTCGCATAATTGTTTCGGTCTCATAGGTTCCAGAAAAGAAATGTACGTCGATGATTTTCTGTACGTCATACCATTTAATAATTACAATTTAAATTATATTTAATTATACGGATCTTACACGTACGGTGCTCTAGATTACGTAGATGTAATAAGTAAATATTTTTAGTTAGGCTATTTTTTACGTATATTACATGGAATGAAATAACATTTGAGTGACGCTACGCGAACGTAATACTTGAGCTTAATTTAACTTGGAGAGAACGCATTTCTTTGCACCTGACGAATAAATAGTAAATATCTGCAATTTCCATTTCGTCTCTTACTTCGTCAAACTGCGGGCACGGGCTACGAACAGGGCTCTGAATCGATTTTTGATAAGCATCGAGATAGCACGGCTACGTATCCCGCAATGGATCTCGTGTAAAAGAGTAATGCAAATCTTGCATTATTTGTGCACATCATTCATAGGTACGGGACGTGTTGTACGACACGTGGCGTAAACAACAAAAATAATAATAATAACGAAACAAATAAAATACAATATTAACACTCGACCAAATCATAAGCAACAGACTCACTCTCAATATAATAATAAAGATAATATCAAGAATTTCAATAATGATAATGATAATAATATTAATAATAATAATAATATATAATAATGCTCACTATGCTTTATTTAAATATCCATATAACGTACCAGGCGATAACGAAAAAAAAAAAAATTATGTTGTTTCTGACAGCATTTGTGTAAGAAACAAATAATTTTTTGTACATTCTACACGACGGTTCCGAAATTATTCCACCTTAAATTAATTGAATGCAAAATATTGTCTAACCGTGAGTAGTTTCTTATTTAAGATTAATGTAATTTAATAATTTACATGACAAAAGGAAGGTCTTGTTTCGTTAACGCCTCGTACAATGATAACGTCTCGTCCGATATCGCGTTACATATTTAATAATTATGTACAATTCAATGCTAGCCTAGCTAGAAGGTCTCTTCTTTATTTGTGTTTCCTCTCTCGCTTGTACCGCTTAGAATCTCAAACAACATACACACATACTAAATTCCCTGTATTCTTCCGAATTTGCATCGCGTAACGCGCGGTTATGACAATTCAATAAGCATTAGAGCGACTGCTTTTTCCTCTCTGTCGTATCACAAGATAATCAATTACTCGAGTACTAGCTAATTAGTTTACACATTTGCGCTCGCTTCCCGGTTAACTAGTCGATACCCAATCTTATTTCTTGGATCCTTCTTATTGAATCATGCAGGGTAATACGTTTCTCTTGTTACACTCAACCACACATTTATGTATATCCTGCGCCGATAAATACGCGTAATCAGGCAGCACGTGCATGCAATTTTGCGTTAGATATTCAGCGCTACATGCACATACATTGCACCATCGAAGTCAGACGTGTACTCACAATGCATCCGGGGTCACATATCCCGTTCGACCGCATGAAACATTTCCTTTTGTTTTTTTTTATTTTATTTTATTTAATAGCTCGGATTTTTTTTAAACTATGGTTATGGAAACTAATAAAGTTTCTATGTGGATTAAAGTTAGTTTATAGTCGATGCGCGAGAAACAATAGTAGTCCATTTGTTGTATCAATCGTCGCGATAAAATGCTTGATGCGGTAGGATAAAACAAATAGTAAGTCCGCGCGAGATTTCCCTACATATCGACAATATAGGAACAACGTGGCTTGCTCCAGGGAGACATTGGTTACATTATGCTGCAAATTATTTACAAAAAGATGCAGGGTCGTAGCTGTCCACCGTTTCATTAATAAAATAATATTCTAGAATAAAACAAATGCAAATTGCATGGTACCAATGACGTTGTAATTTTCAAAAAAGCTTTGTCATTTTAGGATATAGAATTTTTTTTAGTAACTTCTAGCATTGCGTAGCGATGTGAAACAAAAAGTGTTTGAAGAGGAGATAAGGATGTATCCAGGAGGTATTTGATATGAAAAATATTATAATATTATAAAATCTTATTTATATTATAATATTATAATATTATGAATACACGGATGTAAAAATTTTTAGTTACGATTATTTCTGTAGGTATTAACTACAATAATCGTGCTATTTTTAATCACATGTAAATTATGTTGTACGAATATTTCGTTGTTATTCCACTAACTGTAACTGCGTTTCAATCATTTCTTATTTTCTAGGAATATTTCATAAAGCCTGCATAATTTATACACAATCAACATGAATTTCTAAAGGTCACTTCTCCCTTCAAGACCAGTGAAGAATAATTTGAGTATTAATGAGCGCGTCTTATGAAATATGATAGAGATTTTTAACGTAAAAATATGTTTCTTTTTGAAGTTACCTTGAGTCTCTCGCCTTTTCCACGAATACGTTCGGAAAGAGCCAAATAAGAGAATGACGCGTCGAAGAAGAAACAATAAATAAATACACAAACACATTCACCAATTTCGTTTTTAATCAATCTGTCATTCGACTTCACGTGAAACAGTGTGCAGCCAAGACAAGATAATTAATTCGTTATTTAATTAATTAATTACTTAGATCGCTGATTTCTACACCTTAAACTAGAGATTCAGTTTTATCTCACCCGCTGAGGTGGCCTCTCATCAGCATCGTTAATATCTTATAATTATGTGCGTGAGAGCCCCTCGGAGCGCGTCCAGTCTATTACGTCGGGCGCACGGCGCTATATATGCAGAAAATTTTGGCTTTTCTTCAACTTCGAAGTCGTACAGTGACAGTACTTGCGTGTCCGCAGACCGAAAGCGAGCGAGAACGGAGTTGTTTCCGCTCAGCTTCAGGAAGGAAAGAATTTTTCTCTCTTTCTCTCTCTCTCTCTCTCTCTCTCGTCTCTCGATATAGCTTTTTCCAACGGCTAAGCTGAATGTATATGCACGAACCGACACTACACGCGTAAATAATTTAAGTACGTTATTGACATACGAAAGAAGGATACTCTCGTTCCTCCGGCGCGACAATCCGAAGCATCGGCGCATTGCGGAATCAGCGGAACGCACCATGTGTCCTACTGGAAGTGAAGTCCCCCTCGACCCCGCCAAGTCACAAGTGACAGCGTAGTCGTGACGTAGCGCGGGGTCCAAGGCGGAAAAAGCCTTTTAGAAGTTCTGCTCGCCGTACATCCCGGGGAACCGGACCGCGTGTGCTCCGAGCTCGGCGGGCGAGAACTCGTCCTATGTGGCCAAGTGAGCGAACTGGCCGGGGTGGGGCGCGAACTGGTAAGGGTGCCCATACGGTGACATGTGGTACGGCACGATGTTCATGCTCGCCATCTTGTGCTCCTTCTTCCACTTCATACGCCGATTCTGGAACCAGATCTTTATCTGACGTTCCGTAAGACAGAGAGCATGCGCGATCTCAATGCGACGCCGCCTTGTCAGATAGCGATTGAAGTGAAACTCTTTCTCCAGCTCCAACGTCTGATACCTGGTGTATGAGGTCCTTTGTCGTTTTGTCTCACCGTTCGCGTTCACCGTGCCTAGAAATCAAGAGTTTTTCATCATTTCGTGAGAAGGATACAAATGCATACGACTTAAGTATAAACTTTGTAGAACGGAACTGATAAACTAATAAAGATAAATTGTTACTCGTACATTTATTCCTCGCAAACGCTGCACACGTATCAAATATCTTTAAATAGTAATTTACATATATGAAATGTTATGTTTAAGATGGATCGCGTTTTTTCAACCGCGGATCTTATCGTAGACAGGCCACGAGTGGGAAAGTGCGAAAGATTGAATAAAATGTACAGGCGATGGCATATTACTAAAGCGTCCAAGCGCGTGCAACGCGTGACGACCTCGTTAATTATTTCAACGAGTTGTGGTTAATGCCTCCGCCAGTGCTACTGGATTGCGAACTGGTCAACTTGGCAGCTGTTTTACCTATTTGCTTTGCACGCCGCGGTCATAAATAATTTTGCAACGCTATTATTACGATACTCCGCCTGTTACACCTACTTCCTTTGCAAAAATTGCCACTGATGACTGCACCGAACAACGCCAGAAATGAGCTTTGACTTAGTCTCAATGTCGCTTGCAGTATGGTATAACTGTCGCATTATAAATCATCATTATATCAAGTTAATGTAATTATAATTTGATATAATATATCGTTAAGTAAATTATTTTTTTAATAATTGTTTCTGGGATGGCAGTTTTTATAGCATAACATTATGTTAATTAGAAAAAAACATGTAATACGATTTTATAAATTAAAAGAAAATAAGATATAGTAAATATAGTAGATATATTATATATCTATACTATGTTTAGAAGTTAAATGCGACGAAATAATGTTTTTCTTGAATTTGCAGATGGTCCTTTATTGCTTTATGATTCTATTTCTCGAAAATGTTCGTGTAATTTCCGTATAACCCGTATTATATTCCGTAGTCAATATACTAATAATTTCTCTACCCTTCTTCCGCAACACTAGGTTTCGGTTCGTTATTTCAGCAGGTGTTACGCGAACAAGGGTGCTATTCGTACCTTTTCAGGTTCATTGTTAGCACGGGTCATTGCGGATATTAAAGAGTCGGCTCATTTACAGGTATAATAGATAGCCATTAATAGCGCCGTACAAGAGGGAGAAATTGACGAGAGTCGTACAAAATAAAGATGCAACCAAGTAGGAAGTATGAGTAGCGATAATCGCGCAATAAATAAGCCATTTAAATGAATCTTTGCTGACTCGTTCTCGTGTACGCATACAAGAAAAAATGCAATAAAATGTATGATATGTCAAAGAAGAAGAAGAACAGGAAGAAAAAGAAGAATGCTCTCATATGCGAATAAATATTTCCCGTTGTTCAGAAAATAGCTCTCTTGCGTATGTGATTATTCAGTGTTTCGAGCGTTTACGCATAACATTGATAACAGTACGTTTAAAGATTCGTTCCACAGCTCTGAGCAGCAGTACGAACTGGGCACTTTCACGAGAGTGAAAAGCGTTTTCGCAGAGGACGACAACCGGCGAGCGTTGAACAACGAAGCTCCTACCGGGCTTAATGACAGGACCCTTCGTCCGGTGTTATCGCTTTCCTCCCGATGTAACACGTCGCTGGGTCGTGTGGCCTGACTTTTTAATAAATAGTGTTCTGGTTGTCTGGACACGGACTCGTTCGGTCTGCATATCGTTTATCCGGCGCACCTACCCGTTTTGTAACAGACAAACGGAATTCCTTTTTCGGTCACTCGTATTATTATATGTAGAATGTTCCTATTCGCAAAAAATAATCTGCTAATGAAAAAATTCTGCAAAATTTTCAGTTTTTTATTGTTCAAAATTCTTCAGCTTCTTATATATACTTTTTGATTTTCATTAACTAATAATGAATTTATCATCATACAATTATCGAAACTCTTTTAATTTATTTTATCGTCTCGTCATATATTCCGATAATGTTTTTCAAACATAATTACATATATCTTTTTCTCTTTTTGCTGCTTTTGTTAAACAAAATTTTTATGCAATATAAAATTATAAGAGTAGATGCTTTTTCGTACGAAAAATGCATTTTCGTCTTTTCTGGTGATAAATTGCGCTATTGGTATCTCGCCGACATTCATAGAGTATACGATGGTATGTAAAGGAATGTACTCGGTGAAGGCTAGTGAGAAAGCTCTCGACGATGCTCATATGCGATTGAAATATGTTTCTTAGGCGCGCCATGTTAATTCTTCCAACTAATACCACAAGAGAGATCTCGATACGCTCACAACGCTTTGCTTGATGTCTATAACAGGTTCGGAGTTTTTATCATCCCTAAAGAACATGCGCAGGAGTAATAATCTTATAATGATATAATTGTGTGTGTGTGTGTGTGTGTGTGTGTACGCGCGCGTGCGCATTTGTGTGTGTGTTAAATCACTGAATATTATTTTATCTTCAATGTACTTGTGATTTATTATTTTTAGTAACCATGCCTTTTGATGCATTAAAGTACCGCGGTAATCGCTGACCCGATTAAATTTCACGCGTGTCAGGCACACCTGTTTAATTAGCATTTAGATTCTATCTGGCGCGATCTCAGTAGTTATTCTCGCACTATAAATTCTAAAGCATCGAGGGGAGTACGAGCCAATATGTTATTGTAACTTGAATTTCCGTAATCATACGCATGACTTGTGTTATATATATCTCGGTAATAAATTTCGTAATCGCATTGCATCTTAAGCAGATGCAATGGAAGCACTTCGTATATTCATTTGTCAATTCACCTCCGTGAAGATGCGGAAGATCGTCTTACAATTTGAAAATTTTACTTTCTTCAGGAAATAATAATCGAAAAAATAAGATGCATTATTATAAATTTATTAGTTACATAAGGAAAAGAATGTAAGTAATTAGTTATATACGATTGAGCAACATTATAACTTGTTTCAAAATCTCATCAAAATTATCTCGACAATTAATTGCGTTATTAATCAATTGATCGCCTGTGATATTTATCGTGTTTGCTGAAGTGTAATTATCAAGAATCAATGATTAGATCGTCTTAAATATTCAAATTTATATATAATAAATAAGAAGAAAAGGTATACATAGAACAAAAATATTATTATATATCTTCTGTGTTCCTCACTTATATCTTATCTAATAATTACTTAATGTTTTAATCCAAACAATAGTTAATGTTGCTATAATGGAGTAAAACGCGTATCTTTACAAGTTCTCTGTACATGGCGATTAAGTTACTTATATGAGGCCCTCAAGTTTCTCATAGAGACGCACGAGCGAACGGATAAAGATTGAAATAAAAACGCTTAGTGTGTCTATCACGCAATGAGAGATGTGCGGGTCGAAGAGGTGCGCATAGCTGTCGTCGTTGTAAGACTGAGGCGGGCTAAGCGCAGGGCCATGTCGTGTCACCCATCTCGATGTCACCTCGTGTCGTCTAGCCTTTTCGTGCCTCGCTCTTAATAGAACGCGGAGTGCGCGTGTATTTGCACCGAACCCTGTACCAAACGTGTCACCGACTGCCAGTCTGACGACTGCTGTGTCTGCCTGACTGACAGATCGGCTGGTTAAGGCTGAGTAACACGTGACTGGGATAAAATCCCGCGCGATACTCCATAACGTGTTCCCGGTATGTCTGATTTTGATCTCCTTGGTTTTTATTAATACACACTCAAGCTCTCCTTTGTTGCGACTTCCTCGGTTCTTGAATAAGTTTTACTTACATACGCAATATGTAAATCTTCTTAAACTATACGTGATGAAAGAAAAAATATATAGATACTTAAAAAAATGTCTTGTTTTAAATTAAAGTATAAACACTATTAGGAATATAATTAAATTTAAATTTGGGAATTGTATATATAATTAAGTCACATATTTAAGAGAATTGAGATATTTATATTAATACTATAAATTTAAAAGTATCATTTTTATTATAATTAGACTTAATTAAAAAAAATTAATATTAATTACAATTAACTAGAAATATTTTGTCATTGTTAAAGAATATACTTAGTTAAAGTGAAGTTTATATACACGAAAAAAGTTTTATACAAAATGTATCAATAATAACGGGTTTTTTTAAACATCAAAATTATTATTTCATACGTAATTTAAATGAAGAAACGCATAGTTATTGTTCTTTATTGTCTGTTCTTGGCTTGCTCTATGAAGTAATGCGTGGGTATTTAATACTGTGTCAATTGTGTTGTAGATCAGAAGTATTATATATCACTATTCGTGATAGATTACAGATTAGGTGCTGAGAAAAGAATCAAAATATCTTGCGATCGCAATCGTGCTGTATTGCATTCCGCGAGTGCGAGTAGATAGGTATGTGACGTGTGTTTGTGTACACGTATAGGTACATATAAGTTCAGTATGTCGGTCGGGAGCAAGTTCCACGAAAGTATATATAGAACTCTTGTACTACCCCCAACCCCCGGCATATATCTGAATGGTTATCTGATACGAGAGCTCAAGTACGGCCGTATCAATTCTTTCCATCTCTACGATCGATTTAAGAATCCCAAAGAAGCCAATAAAAATCCGTAAGTTTCGCGATGTAATGAACAGCGGGAATTGTTTTAAATCTCGTTACCATTAGATATATCAAACGCCAATTTCTCACGGTATTAATGAATCACGCTTAACTGAGTTTAATCACGTACAAGTTCGATCATCTATGCCAACTTACTTTGCAGTCACCAAATTATAGTAAAGCGCTTCTGCACGTACATCATGCAGAAGGAGGTTTTAGAAATTTTTAAAAGATGTCCTATATAATTTTTGCATGTCATTGCATTTTCAAAATCATGTGTTTAGTCCAATTAGAATTATTATTCATGCAGCCAGTACGCATCGCTACTTGTGAAAGAATCAATGTCAAATGAAAGTGAAACGCTTTTTAAAAATCGAACTTTATTTAAATTCTCATATGCATTTAAACAAAAGCATTAATTGCATAATAGAAACAAGAAGATTCCATTTACAATGCAAATGCTGTGATAAAGC